GTAGGTAGCCTCGTATAGGGATGCATTGACACTAGCCGTATTTTCAGGGTATTAAAGTGTACTTAGATGCTAGCAGTGGGATACAGAGTATATGATACATTATTATTTTTCTCCTGGGTTCCTAGTGGAACATAGGGCTTCAGTAGCACACCTCCATTCCACTCTCTCCTCTCCAGTCTTCTCAACCTGGCGCCACGACTCCGCACAAGCTCTCATTTCTTCTTCACACCACCTCCTCCATGTCACTCTCAGCTGCGACACCCAACTCGCCCTTCCCCATTCGAATTAAACTCAACAGCCTGGCCTGGCACGTCATGACCCCAGTCGGCCTTCTCAGTGTATGTCCAATCCAATCCATCTCCACTTTCTTCCACTCCATATTTGTTGGGTGATAGGTTCTTGCTTCGTTGGTTGGATTGTTGTCAGCCAGCCAGAGTGAGTTCCTTGTCGCTTATTCTTATTATTCTGGTCATCTGATCTCCATAGTCAGTATCGAGCCAGTGTAAGCGGCAGCTGTTGATGTGATGATTGTCTGTAGTTTGTTGGAAGACCTTTTCGTAACGAACCAAGTCTCTCAACCATCACTGACTTGACTCGCATTCGTGTTGAAAATCCGGATGTTGTTCATGCTTTGTGATAGACTTGAATATAGTCAATAATGTAGAAAAGCACTCGGCTATTGCAATGCACGCAGTAACACACAATCACACAGTAGCGTGGGCAGGAGAAAACCACAATACTCTAGTCCAATATATTTAGGTGCAAAAAGAGAGATGGAGACATTGATTACTGCACTTTTGTTCATCGAATCAACTAACACCCACATATGTGATAGAAATGATGCAACACCCATGCATACCAGGGATATGGAGAAAACATTTTACTACCAATCAAAACAAAGAATCTGAGGTGAGAGGATTATAAAAATCAGATAATGAGAGTGGAGTGTGATTACACATTGATATGATTATCAATAGTGATAATTAATGCTGGAAACGTCATTCAGTAAGAGTAGTACTGTATCACCACTGTGTGTTATAAATTAAGTAAACAAATCCAGTTGGGAACAACTAGTCGGTAGTAGAAAAGAACACTCCTTCAGCTTGTACAAACCATCAAATAATATAAATCAACTAATCACTGTTAAAAGGGATTTCCAATAAACTACAGACATTCATCAACAACTGCCACCTACGCTGGCTCGCTACTGAAGATCAGATGGATTGCCAGAAAGAATAAGCAACAAGGAGCTCTGGGAACGAACCAACCAAGAACCTACCGCTCAACAAATATGCACTGGAAGGAAGTGGAGATGGATTGGGCATACACTGAGAAGGCCGATTGGGGACATCACGCGTCAGGCTAGGCCCTTGAGTGGAATCCCCATGGGAAGCGACGAGTTGGACGTCCGAGGTGAGGGTGACATGGAGGAGATCGTGCGAGGAGGAAATGAGAGGTTGTGGGCTGTCGTGGGACCAGGTTCAAAAGCTCTCAGAGAACAGAGTTCACTGGAGGTGTGCTACTGAAGCCCTATGTTCCATTAGGAACCCAAGGGACCAATAATAATCATTGTTATAATATGCCACTTCAGTGCAGAAGAGTCTAACAATCAGATCATGACAACTTTAGCCACTTTAGTTAGACAATAAATCTTAATTAATTATATCAACATTGCCCTCATAAGTTCATTCATGTAACAGAAAGTAATCAGTCATGAAGAAGAAACTTCACCTTATTGCATTCAAAAACAGAAGTTAACCAATAAGGTAGTTGCAAGCCTCATTCAGACAGTTGAAAACGTTATGTCAACCAGTCAGTCTCTATCCACACAGTCACTAACTAACCAGTCAACATGTGTGTTGTTATATGTTAACACACAGTCAATTTATTCCACTTCCTCATGAGGCAGTGATACATTAATGGTGATATCCAGCGTCTAATCGAAAAACCAACCCATCGGTCACCCATATTCTGAGCTAAAAATGTTATTTAATACTTCAATCCTTACGTTTTATCAACCAACTCATGCATTTTTGTACATTTTTGTAACTTACCTTGTACCGATTATCCCCAACCAGTTTATACAAAGTTTGTCATTTATTTACTGACCTATTTATTACATATCTAAACTGTGTATTCCTCGGCTATCTATCTTCGTTGACTGAGTAATTTGTAAATACAGTGGACTTTAAGCTGCAAACTTTCTTCTACGAGTTTAACATTTCTCATGTTATTATTATACTACTTACAAGTAGTTTATATTTTATGAAGTCAGTTTCTCACTTTCTTCTGATTGGTTGTCTGTTGTTGTCTACACATTTACTGCTGTCTGATTGGTTGGAGCTATGAGTTGATATTCAACTGTATTTAACTTGTCATTTTCACTGCTTGTCAGCTGTAGCTGACACATTGTTTGCTGTTCAATCACATCGGATGTAAGTGTACAGTTATACACTAATTATTATAAATAGGACGAAACGCGCATCCTGGATTCCACTGCTAGTCACTATCCATCATTAACTAGTTATTATTATTTGTAGAGCCAGTAATTATTCATACAAGAAAACCAGAGTCTTCAGACTTTATACGACTCTCAGGGGAGTTTACTCTGGCGAATTTCACATCTAGAGCACTGAGTATACTTGTGTCTTGAGAGGGCATTGATCACCAATTCGACAAGTGATTATTCATACGCCTGTAAGTTGAGACACCGATTTAGAGAATTTAGTCTTCAAGTGTCTGTTTACAGACTACATATGCAGGCTGTGCTGTTTTAAACAAGTTTTAAAAAGACAAACTTCTTCGTCAAAGCTAACTAGTTGATAGTTTCTGGTCAGCTCAGCTATTTATATGTATTTCGTAACCTTAGTCACTGATTTTTTTCATACAACTTCAATTATTATTATATATATTATTTGTCCCTTGGGTTCCTAATAGAACATACCGCTTCAGTAGCACATCTCCAATGAGCTCTGTTCTCTGAAATCTTTTGAATCTGACTCCACGACAGCCCACAACCTCTCATTTCCTCCTCGCACGATCTCCTCCATGTCACCCTCAACTAGGACGCCAAACTTATCGCTTTCCATCTGGGTTCCACTCGGCGGCCTGTCCTGATACGTGATGTCCCCAATCGGCCTTCTCAGTGGATGCCCAATCCATCTCCACTTCCTTCTGCATATTTGCTCACAAACAGAAGTACTTTCTGTAGAGCTTGCTCTTGTCGCTACCAAGTTTTAAAACCAGTTGACTGAACTACTGCTGTCAGATATATGCACATTCTTCTACACATCCTAATACAACGGACTGTCTACAAGCTGGAGGAGAACTGATCAACAGCTGGTTGCTTCACCTCAGCCTATGTGCCTATTTTAAACCTAATGAAACAGCATTAGAACTTTCCAGGCACCCTGTGTATGGTCGCAATCCCAATGAGAACACTGAATTGACTGCAAATTACATTCAGAGCACAGCTTTTAAATAGGATGAAATTTAGGTCTTACTGCTAGCCCCTATCATATGCTTAGTTTGTAATTTGCCGGGCCGTTTTGGCCTTCACCGCGTCCCCAACCCTGACTCATTCATATACTGAAGTTATAGCTTTCGCTTTTAGTCAGCTGGTTGGGTCCAACTAACTGAGTACTATTGACATATGAACCTTATACGCATATCCCTTCATATTGCTGGTAATTCCAGTCTATGACGAGGGAATATGTTTAAAAACTATCCAATTTCTCTAACTTCTAGAGATTTACATACCTAATTACATTAAGGAAGATAAAACGGCGCCAAAGACAACTTCAGAAGCTGTACATTTTGAAGGGATTCCAAAGTCTACCACCCAAACAACTATAAGAATAGCCAATCAAGTTTGTCTATTTTTTGCTACAAATGTAGTTGTTATGTGGAATGAAGAAACCTAGTAAACGTTTTCCGTAGTTATGTTAGGGTGGTCTTTAGATTCACTCATATACAGACAGCAATCTCTTATTCACATGAACATAAAGAAAAGTACGAAATATTTCAACTTGTTATTCACCATAGACTGACATCAATTGGCGGAACAAAGCGAACCTGGGAGCACTGGACAGCTATTTCTTCCTAGTGTGAGACTCCTCAGCAGTGCCCACCCACGACCCCCCAGGGATCGAACTCGCGACCTTCAGACTCCGTGGCCAGCGTGTTACCGTCGAGCCACAGCCCAGTGCTTCATATTCCCAACTTCTGTTAGCTCACGATAGTAACGCGCTGGCCTCGGAACCTGAAGGTCACAGGTTCAATCCCTGTTGGTGTCGTGGGTGCGCACCGCTGAGGAGTCCCATAGTAGGACGAAACAATCTTCCAGTACTCCAAGGTTTCCTTTGTTCCTCCAACTGAAATCAGTCTATGATGAATAAAAAATTTAAATATTTCCAAATCTCCACAAATCCCTACAAATTCAAGGGTATGAAAGCAAAATATAGAAATCAGTATAAAATTTAATTTTCTTTTTTTGAAAATAGCTCGACTAATAGAAAAGTGATGTGAACAGGAGGATCAGCAAAAGGTGGATATGAATTGATACCAACAATATCTGTTTTCCGCATTATAATCTGTACATAAATATTCTCTTCTTTTTTGTCTTTTAAATGAGAAGCCTAAAACAATTTATGTTCACAAATCATGTCCAAGTAAATCATAAAAATGATAAAATGGTTAAGATTGAACAACAATATCTAATAAAAATGTCTCATCTTCAAAATAAGATCAGAAGAATACGAAAGGTAATGCTTAAAAATAAAATATTTCGAACAAATATTGGTCCTGATAAGGGAGGTATACCGGTTGGACCATATAAAATACATAACAAGTTATATCTGCCCACCAAAATATAATTTTGCCCGTATACACATTTTCACCAGCCCACCTGTCTATCCACATGAATTTCTTTTTAGCCAATCAACATCTTCAGCTTATGCTTCAAATAAAATCAACCAATCACAGGAAGATATTATCATCATTTACATTTTGTGCAGAGATGATTTTGAGTCTGATACAGTACGAAGTTGACCTTGAGCATAGGTACCATTTGACATTTTATGGATTCTAACAAGACCTGAAGGTGGATGAATATGGTGCAGATCATGATTATCTTCAATTTCAATTTGAATATTATTAGCCATTGTATATGTATTCTGGTGACATGAGGCTTGATTGAAATTCGGTTTACCTGGTAAAGGTGAATAGTGTTTTGATAATTTCCCACTTCTTCCTGGTTGATACTGTTGATGATTGACATGATTCGATCTAGGTAAGCATTTACTTTGGTACTGATCTATGAAATTTGATATTTTTGCTGAGTCCAACTTGATGGTTCTTGATTGAACTGTTCCATTTGGTCGAGGAATATTACTGTTAGCACACGTCTAAGAGGAAGAGAAAAGAAGGTTATTCACAGTTTTAATTTCAAGGACAAAACTGATCATGTGAAATCTGACCTGTAGATCAATAAGTAAATATCTGCGATGGAGAAATTGGTTACAATCTTTCTTACAAGTCGATGTCAACTCCTGAGAAACAGGGTAACTGACAGATCTTATTCTAAAGCACTTGTGTAATAAAATTCTATGAAGCATCTTATGATACCTCCTCGTCGCCATTACTTGATAGTGGCATTCAATAGAATTCAGCATACGCGTCTCATCCAGTTTGCAACACGTCATCCAGATTTACATCTATCACACTGACTGTTGGTGTACACGTAGGGGCTCGAACTCAGTACCGACAGCCCCGAACGTCATGTTATCTACCACACTACTGTCCTGTTTTGTTCACTGGCTATAGGTTTTTATCCAGATTCTGTATTTCCCCCCGATTTTCTTTTTATTACCGAATTAATCAGACTGATATGGTATTGAGAGCTTCTTGCAGAGAACTCTGAACATCGAGGTTGATTGTAACTTGATATTAGTCAGCACTGCCGTGAACTAGGGACAGTATCACTGATTGGAAGGAGGATAACAGGATACAAATTAGCTGAAATATACATCATCCCTATCTCTGCTAACCATGACTATTGCCTATTGTATTGCTGTGAGACATGACTGTTGAAAGTTGAAGATATGAACTGGTTACAAGTTTTTCTTCATAGCACTTCTCGTATGTAGTGGAATTACTATATGAGCAACGTCGAGATCAGGTAGAAGGTACTAGGCAAGACAAGTAAGTTGATTGGTCAGGGTACTGAGATGGCTTGGACATGTACTAAAAATGCCTGCCTACCTCGACGTACCATTCTATAGGAAGTTGCATTAGGTTGAGAGAAGGTTAACAGTGGCCACAATAAGATGTAACGCCAGTTCATGAAGTCTCTGACTATTGGTCTTAGCCGTGTGAGAAGATGTAGACTACCTGTCTACGATCTACAAGAAGATAAGAATCAGTGACTGAGGACTGTATGAGACATACACCTTTGTCCACTTTGATATCGTTCTCACTCTGTCCACCTGTTCTTTGTGAACTATTGTAAACTATGGCAATTTGAAGCAAGGCACTTGTGTGTAAGGTTCTATGTTAAATTTATTTACACACTGATATGATATTCTTAACATAGACTAAAAACTTCTGTCTTGAAAATCAACACTGGTAAATCTGAAGTGTGAATAACAACAACAAACAAGTTCTTTTGTCAAAGTGTTTAGATTAACAAGATAGAAGAAATGATTTTGATCGTCAATTTTTTGAAGAAGTCAAGACGAGGGGTAGAAAAGTTACACATAAAAGAAAATCTTGTTGAATGGAATCTAATTGAGTGTTTCAAAGTTTCAAAGTGCTATTTGTTAAGTTTACTGGTACTCAGTTTGATCCTAGTGTAAACAGTAGATAGTAAGCATAGAAATAATTGTTGATTAGTTTATAATTCTTCGTAATCATCTTTATGGTGAAATATGTTTGTGATAAAATCTACACGGTGATACATTGTACTCCATTAATAGCTCATTGATGAAGTGGGTATATTTGCTTAATTGGTGATTAATTTATTTGTAAACGGATGCCAAAGATGATAGGTGTATACTTTAGAGAGGAAAATATACAAATAACTACCTTATGTTTAACCTCGCCTGGTTAACTAGTTTACTAGTTACTAGCCGGTCCTAAGCCCGGGTAAAGAGGGAAGGTTGGGCATAGGGCTAGCAACCCTACCCCGTAAAACAAATCTAACCGCTAAAGAAACTTCAAAGCACAAACAAAATATAAAAAATGAAAACAAACTTATTCCCCGCTGGAATCGGAGAGGCGAAATGACGCCAGTTGGTGAAAGCCTTCCGGAAGCCAATTGGCCGATGTGTCTTCTCTCGATGAAAGCGAAAGTAAACGTGGGGACATGGAATGTTCGCACCATGTTTGAACCCAGTAAGGCAGCCCAGATTGCAAAGGAGATGAGAAGGTATAACATCGAAGTGCTTGGGATTTGCGAAAGCAGATGGAATGGGAGTGGACTCTCCAAACTGTCAACTGGAGAATCAATAATCTACTCCGGTCACCCAGACGCCAACCACGAGCACACTGAGTTATGGAGTGGCTATCATGATGTCCCCAAGAGCATCGAAGGCTCTCATGCAGTGGGAACCAATCTCCTCCAGGATCATGACAGCAAGATTCAACTCAAAAGGAAGAAAGGTCACAATCATACAATGTTATGCACCTACAAATAATGCAGAGCAAGAGAAAAAGGAGGAATTCTACAGACAACTTCAATCAACACTGGACAAGACGTCAGTTGGCGATATCAAAATTCTGATGGGCGACATGAATGCCAAACTGGGAGGGGACAACACGGGAAGAGAACTAACCATGGGTCGAGAGGCACTAGGTGAAATGAATGAGAATGGAGAATTGTTTGCAGAATTCTGCGCATTCAACGATTTGGTGATTGGAGGCAGTGTGTTCAGGCACAAGGATATCCACAAAGCGACATGGACTTCACCAGATGGACACACTAAAAATCAAATCGACTTTATCTCAATCTCAAGAAAATGGAGACGCAGTCTACTTAACACAAGGTCAAGAAGAGGAGCAGATGTAGGTTCAGACCACTATCTAGTGCAAGGAACCTTCCAAATCAAGTTAAAAGCCTTCAAGGAAGCTGGTGATAGACCTCAATTCAAGTACAACACTAGGAAACTGAAGGATGAAACTACAAAGGAGATCTTCACGGCAGCCATCAAGACAAAATGGGAGACATCGAGGGACATCCCTGAAGAAACCTGTGTGGAAGAACACTGGAAGTCTTTGAAAGCTATGTGGAAAGAAACCTGCACAACAGTATTAGGAAGGAAGAAGAAAGAAGACAAGGAATGGATCTCGACGGATACCTGGAAGCTGATAGAGGAGAGGAGGATGGTGAAGCAGAAGATAAACCAGTGCAAGGATGCTCAACGACAAGAGGAACTGAGCACAATGTATAAAACACTGGACAAAGAAGTGAAGAAGAGTGCACGCAAAGACAAAAGACACTTCTACAAAACACTGGCAAGTGAAGCAGAACAGGCTGCAGGTAAGAGAGACCTGACGACATTGTATCAAATAACCAGGTTGCTATCAGGGAAGAGACCAACACAGATGAAACCAATAAAAGATGAAGAAGGAAATTTAATTACGAAAGAAGAGAAACAGAGGAAACGATGGGCCGACCACTTCAAGAAGCTCTTGAATCGACCACCACCTGCACTTCGTCCAGAAATACCACCTGCAGCCGCTGAATTACAAGTGAACATAAATCCCCCAACGAAAATGGAAGTCCTGAACGCCATAAAGCTACTGAAATGCGGGAAAGCAGCAGGACCAGATGGAATCCCACCAGAAGCACTGAGAACAGATGCAGAGACAACAGCGGACATGCTCACACCACTATTGCAGAAGGTGTGGAAGGAAGAGAAGGTACCGGACGATTGGAAGAAGGGTTACCTTGTCAAACTGCCGAAGAAGGGAGACCTCAGTGCTTGCAAGAACTGGCGAGGAATCACTCTCCTGTCCACCCCAAGTAAAATATTAAGCCGCATCATCCTGGAGAGGCTTAAAGATGCACTGGATTCAAAACTGCGACCGGAACAGGCAGGCTTCAGGAAGTACAAATCATGTGCGGAACAAATTGCAACACTTCGTATCATCATAGAACAGAGCGTAGAATGGCAATCAGCTCTCTACCTCAACTTCATCGACTTTGAGAAGGCCTTTGACAGCGTCGACCGAGAAGTAATTTGGAAACTGCTTCAATACTACGGAGTACCGCAAACCTTTATCCGCCTCATTCAACAACTATATGAAGATGCCACATGCCAAGTAATTCACAATGGGGAGCGAGAAGAGGGGGATACGCTGGACTGCGGAAAAGAACCTAGAAGACTTGGATTTCGCCAACGATGACTTGTGCCTGATGTCACATAAACTTGAAGATCTACAGGCAAAAACTAACAAGTTGACAGAAGAGGCAGGGCAGCGAAGGAAGATGGGACTTCAAGTGAATATAGAGAAAACAGAGGTGATGAAGATACCGCACCACAACCAACAACTCCAACAACAACAACAAACTCCAATCACCGTCAACGGGAGAAACTTGAAGGAAGTGACCTCCTTCACTTATCTAGGAAGCATTGTTTCAACTACAGGCGGGACGGACGAGGACGTCAAAGTCAGAATCGGAAAAGCAAGACAGGCGTTCATTAGCCTGAAACCAGTGTGGAGATCTTCTGCACTCAGCATCTGGAACAAGATACGGATTTTCAACACCAACGTCAAGTCAGTGCTCTTGTATGGCTCAGAGACTTGGCGCGTCACGAAAGGCATTTCCAATAAACTACAGACATTCATCAACAACTGCTTACGCTCGCTGCTGAAGATCAGATGGCCAGAAAAAATAAGCAACAAGGAACTCTGGGAACGAACCAACCAAGAACCTATCACGCAACAAATATGCAGGAAGAAGTGGAGATGGATTGGCCATGCACTGAGAAGGCCGACTGAGGACATCACGCGTCAGGCCCTCGAGTGGAATCCCCATGGGAAGCGACGAGTTGGACGTCCGAGGGTGACATGGAGGAGGTCGTGCGAGGAGGAAATGAGAGCTTCTGGGCTGTCGTGGAACCAGGTTCAAAAGATCTCAGAGAACAGAGGTCACTGGAGGCGTGCTACTGAAGCCCTATGTTCCACTAGGAACCCAAGGGACTAATAATAACCTTATGTTTAGCTAGTCCTGGAGATTATTTATAACATGAATGATTGTCTATCAATTCATACTTATGATAAAGTCAATGTGAGAGTTTCTCCATGGTTTGCTCAAATATTCAATAGCGAATAGTGATGATCATTTGAGATTTAAGGAACTCGGGGACAGGGAAGGCAGTAGGTGAGTCTGCTTACATTATATGAAGTAAGTCATTCATTCTTCATACATTGAGATTAGGAAGCAGTAGGAGCTTCGATCAACATGTTGTGTAGGTCAGTTCATGGAGTTGTAGCTGGCTGTGGTCAAGATGTCAGGTAAAGGGTCACGCACATATATCATTAAGTTGTCTTCCATTTCAAGACAATAAATCAGAGAGTTTTTATGCACTAGACATCATAATAATTAGAGTTTACCTAGAATAGAAGACTATCATGTCGTACTGTTACTATGTGGCTCTTTTATCCTGTATTTTACCAATTCAGTGTCTTGTAGTGTGATGAATTAATCAAATTACTCAAAAACTATCTTTCTCTATACTACGCTGAATCATGACTCGATGAAGGAAATTATAGAAGAGTTGTTTCTTGCTATGGACAACCATTTAGTCTTCTATTGCATCACTGGAACACAACCCAATCATGGGCTACATTGATACACAGATAATAAACTCTTCATAAAACTTTAAAATTCTGTTTTCTGCTCTGAGTTGATTTGGTATTGTCCAGTGGTAAATACTGCTATAAAGTGGAGTTTTGAGAACAAATGATAATAATTAAGCGTTGAAACGACTCAACACTAGTGATTCGTACAGAGAAATCACAAGATTGTTAATCAACTGAGTTTATAGTGCCTCAAAGTGAAAAAGTTTACTGACAAGAATGGATGGTATTTATGCAGCTTATAGTAACCTTAAAATATAAGGAATAATTAGTACACTTGATGAGTCAGGAGCCAATCAGAATAAAATGTAAGCAAAGTGAGGGAAAAGAACGCGAAGAGAAACAGTTCAAAATGTATAAACAATACCTATAGAATATCTGGGATATAAACATCCTAAAGAATACCTTCAGATATACATCAATAGCTGCTGCCTACTCTCACTCGATACTGAAGATCAGATGGCCAGAATAATAAGAGTAAGCAACAAGGAACTCTAGCTGGTTGGCTGCCAACGAACCAATGAAGCAAGAACCTATCACCCAACAAATATGGAGTGGAAGAAAGTGGAGATGGATTGGATTGGATATACACTGAGAAAACGGTTTGAGGATATCATGCGCCAGGTCAGACCCTCGAGTTGAATCCAAATGGGAAAGGACTACTTGGGTGTCCGAGGCTGACATGGAATTGATGGTATAAAGAAGAAATGAAAGCTTGTGGACAGTGGTGAAAGCAGGTTGAAAAGACAAGAGAGAACAGAGTGAAATGGTGACATGCTGCTGAAGTCCTATGTGTTCCACTAGGAACCCAAAGGACATGGAATAATCATAAAAAAAGAATACCACTAGGAAAAAATTACTCTATAATCACATTTAACAGCCTACTTATTGATAGTAATAAGTTGATCAATAACTTACTCGATGATTTTCTGAAAAATCGATATTTGATGCACAACGTAATACAAAGGAATCATCAAGTTTATTAGTCAAATGTTTATGAATAGTTGAATTGAAGTGTAAATTTGAATTATGTTCACCATTGAACTTTGATAATCGTGATTGATTGTTAGTAATAGCACTTAATGAATTGAACCGATTATGAACCTGATGATCAGGTAGAAGTTTATCCAGATGACTAAATGATAAGCCATTATGATGATTATTTTTAATGTTTGTTACATTTTGTTTGTGTTTATATCTATCATGGTTGTTTTGTGGTGTAGTTAAAATAATCGCACCTTTATTCTCTATGATGGGATTTAAAAAGGCTTGCTCAGAGTCTTGCAGTTTAACTGATGTAGTTTGATAATTTAAAAGTGGTGAAGACACCGATGAATTTCGTTGTAATCGTAGTGATGAAGTCACTTTTCGGGATAAATCAGTCTGAAATTTAAAAATGAATCATTTTAAATAAGATGTAAATAATAATTTTCTTCATGGTATCTAGCAATGGAATCTAAGATGCATGTTTCATCCGATTTGGGACTCATCACCTGGATGCACATGCACTCTGGTGAGTGATGTTGTTCCTATCGAGACTCAAAACCGGTAATCATCGCTTCAAATACCAAAGCGTTATCCACCAGAACACTGAGGCCGGGCATAGCAATTTGACGTCTAATGTGATGGTTACTGGTTTCAAGTCTCAGTGGGAACAGCACTCACCATAGTGCAGGTATGTCCGGCTGATGAGTCTCAAGTGGGATGGAGCGAACTGCTTGGATTCGACTGCTAGCCACCACCAAAGAAGTTACAACATAATGTACAATTAGGCAATATCGAGGCATCTACACAAGAGCCTATATACCAACAACCAATTAGATCTAGAATAACAAAGGAAAATTACAAATAATAATGAAAGTGAATTCTTTGGTAAATTTTTATGTAAATATCAAGTGAAACATGTTGGTTCCCCTCTAGATATTTTAAATCTCTTAAGCCTGAACATATTTGCCTTTGTTGATTGAACCATCCTATTCTAAGCAGGAGAATACTGAAGCTGAGTAAAACTATGCAACCCAAAGAAAATTTAAAACCAACACCTTTTTATCTCTTCTACTCAACCAATACTTCAAACAATCAAACAATTGCATAATAAATCATCGATTCATATGGCTATCGACACAAATTCAGACTGATTCATCCTAGATACGAAACACTAAAATAATGTATGTCGTGATGACACTGTAACTGAATGTAAAAGTAAAAATATACCATTAATTTGATTTAGTCAGTTAAGCCAACACTTTAAAACTTAGTATTTTAGTCTGTCACAGGGTGAAGAAAGAGTATCATTTACTGGATAACGAAGGACATTTTGAACATCATTTATTTTAGAAATAGTATTCATCATGGACTGACGTCGGTTGCCCAACCATTGGAAATCTGAGAGCACTGGACAGCTGTCTCATCCTAGTATGCCACTTCTCAGCCATACGCACCCACCACCCAGCTACAGATCCAACTCAGGACCTTCAGGGTTCACAGCGAACGCGTTAATCATTCAGCCAGTCGATTGGTTCTCAGTGGTTCACAATTTCCTACTTCTCTCAATTCACAACATACCGCGACTATCACCTAAGGTCTTCAGTTAGCATTCACTTCACTTCCGACTGGTTGACCCCACAGGTCACGGCTTCTCATTACACCTTCTTGATATCCATCTGGAAGCAGGTCACTAATAAGCACTATATAGTAATGTAATTTTAAGATGAATGGGGACATTTTAATTTAGAAGTAGTATTCATTATGGACTGACATCAGTTGGGGAACCATTCAAAATCTGGGAGCATTGTACAGTGGCTGTTTCCTCCTAGTATGGGTGTTGAGTTCGATCCCTAGCCGAGTCGTGTGTGCGTACTGCTGAGAGGTCCCATACTAGGAGGAAACAGTCACTGTCCAATGCTCCCATATTTTCAATGGTTCCCCCAACTGATGTCAGTCCATGATGAATACTACTTCTAAATTAAGAAATCCCCATTCATTTCAAAAAGGATGCATAATTTATTGCCCATAGTCGTATCATGATAACTAATTCCATAACTTTGAGACATCCTTTATATAGTTCTAATTTCTTCTCATTCTTTGTGATGACAAAGGTGGTAGAATTATCCATATGTGTCGGATAGATGCAGAATCATTTCTATTAATGCATGTATTTCATGTGTGTTGCTTCAATCAACAAAGATTCGACTATAAATCTCTGCCTCACTCTGTCTTATCTTATCACATGATTGTGTGTAACTGGGTGCAGAGTTATACCCGAGCTTTTCTCTGAATTTCTTATCTTATTACTTACGATCAGCCTTATTGAGAATTCTTTGTAATGCTTCTGAGGTGCCTTCTTTGTAGGGTAACACCATAGAGGCTTTGAATTCTCTTTCAACCCTGTCATCATTATAACCACTATCAGTAACACCTAGGTCACTACTGCTAATATTTTTCTTTAAATTTATGAATTTATTTATAAATTTAGGTGAATAATTACTGAGGTGCAATGTGTTCTTGATGTGTCTAATTTCTTGTCGTAGATTTTCTGGCCTACTAGTAAGCTTTTTCGCTTTATCACTTAGGCATTTAACTAATCCTACTTTAACTCAGATGGAGTTTCCTATAGATACTTGTCTCTTAATTTTCATCTGATTTCCGCTTAATCTTGCTGTTCAACATTATTAACTCACCTTTACAACTTTTTTAAGTCATGTATTCAAGTTATGGAGTTAAACTATATCAATATGAACAAAATATTATGTCCAGTTGATGATACTGTTTCACTGTGTGACAATCCTAATGAATAGACTAAAATACAATGATCAAATACCATATTGCCTAAGTCCTACTCTTATACCTTGGAACTGAGACCTGAACCGCTTAAAACTTGATACAAGTAATTTGTAGTCTGGGGATTTTGGACATGATGCCGCTGAATTGACATTTTTTGTTATAGGAATAGAATACTTGTTTTCTCAGGATTGTTAACATGTTCAAGACAAAATCGGAAATCAAGTAGCTGGGTCAGTTGAAAACAACTTACTGAAGGTCATATTTATCAGCTCCTATTATTTTTTTAAAAATTATACAAATATTTTATTTTAATCTATGGAATTTTGGCAGTCAGCACTCTACCTCAACTTCATCCACTTTGAAAAGACATTTGACAGTGTCACCCGAGAAGTAATTTGGCAACTGCTTCAACACTACGGTTTTGGTGCCAAAAATCCGTATCAACCTCATTCAACAACTATATGAAGACGCCACATGACAAGCGATCCACAATGGAAAGCTCAGTGATGCCCTTAAAGTGAAAACAGGAGTGAGATAAGGCTGCCACCTACTATCAACCATGATCTTCCTGATTGTGGTCGACTGGATCATGCAGCAAACCGCGAGGAGCCAGAAGATGGGCATACGCTGACTGGACTGATGAAAAGATCCTAAAAGATTTGGATTTCGCCAACGATGACTTCTGTCTAATGTCACACAAACTTGAAGATCTACAGGCAGAAACCAAAAAGTCGACAGAAGAGGCGGGGCAGCAAAGACGGGACTTCAAGTGGACGTAAAGAGGACAGAGGTGATAAAGATACCCAACCAACACCACCAACAACAACAACAACAATAACAACAAGCTCCAGTAACCATCAACGGGAGAAAATTAAAGGAAGTTGTCACTTTCACCCACACCTATCTAGGCAGGCAGCATCGTTTCAACTACAGCCAGCGGCACAGGCAAAGACAAGGGCGTCAAAGCCAGACAGGACTGGAAAGACGGCAAGACAGGCGTTCATTGACTTGAGACCAGTGTGCAGATCTTCTGCACTCAGCATAAAGCGTGAACAACATCAGATTTTCAACATAAATTCAGTCAAGTCAATGCTTCTATGTGATGGTTGAGAGGCATGGCGCGTTACGAAAGGCATTTCCAACAAACTACAGACATTCATCAACAACTCTTTACACTGGCTCGTTACTGAAGCTCAGATGGCCAGAATAGTAAGAATAAGCAACAAAGAACTCTGGTTGGCTGGCTGGTCGGCTGGGAAAACCATTCGGAGACATTACACACTACGCCATCGAGTGGAATCCAAATAGGAAACGACGAGTTGGGCGTCCGTGGCGGGGGTGACATGGAGGAGATTGTGTGAGGAAAAAATGAGAGCTTCTGGGATGTCATGGAGCCAGGTGTAAGAGGACTGCAGAGAAAAGAGTGTAATGGAGATATGCTACTGAAGAGATATGTTCCAGTAAGAACCCAAGGGACAAATAATGATGATAATAATACTCATAATAAAGATGATAATATGAAATCTTTTACACAGATTAAGACTTTCTATAGTAAAATATATCGAATCATAGCAGGAACATTTTTATTTCAGGGATACGAAACAAAAAGGACAACTAGAAAAAGATAAATAGTAGATATATGTTGACTACTTTAATCTATTATAGTAGTGTAAATTGAAGTAAATCGTTTTTTAAGTCTCATGTCATTTTTCCTCAGTAACTCCCTACTAGGTAGTGTGAAAGCTTAGACAAAGAATTGAATGTCTTCAGCCTTTCCCTACAAACTGCTAAATGATGTGGCTGATGATTTCGCTGTAGATATTCATTAACATATTCTTCACAGGACTATTTTGGATTCAAAGGTTATGATTTTTAAAGGTTAGACAATATCCTCAGCACTAACTTCAGTATGAAGTGAGGCATCGATATGTCTCAGTGAGTGGTTCACTAGCTTGCGCTGACTAACTCGTGAATGACATTCAGTTTGTGTTCTCCAATTGCTCCGTCCTTAGGTTTGTATAATAGGATTCGTTGGTTTATGAGCCACACCAGTTCCAAGTGGTGTCAGTAATCTTGTCATGATTTCTGATGTATTCTTTATGCACGGTGCGTTTATTGATTTGTGTCGATGACTTTGTAATTGATGATGTACGGGATAGGCATCTTCTGATGAATTTTCGTGGGTAGCCGTTATTCTTTAGGATAGACATCAAGTAATTTTCTTCGTTTCTCCATGAAGTTGTTGTACTGCAGTACAATGTGTTCGCACTCTTTTGAACAGAGTCTGCACTCAAGTAATTTTGAGAATTGCTGGTTTGTCGTTACTGTAGTTGAGGATTTGATCAGTCAGCGTGTTTTGGTTTCCTGTACAATTGAATCTCCAGCTTTCCTACATTTGTTTCACTGACTAAAACATCCAAGAACATTACTGTTTATTGACATACTTGTTATTCTCCATTCTTTTGTTGGAACGGATTGTTCGACCTCTATCGGCATATGGGCTCCTATACGGTTGCCTCGATATTTCCTGAATGTTAGTAATGATAATTTGGTTGGTTGGTCATTGGTTGATCTACACCTTCTGCATTATGAATTTAATTTCATTGAAAACGTTGTCGATCAAACTGTGAGTGTTTTCTATATAATCTTTTTAATGATGACAAAAGTGTCGTCTACATAACAAATCCGAATTCTTGGTTTAATCACAGGTGGGATGATGGCTTCCAGTCCCTGCATCACTGTTTCTGCAATTAGCTAGGATATCGGTGATCCCATTGGAGTTCTTTTTATCTGTTTTGGTATCCTTCGATGTCCCAGCACTTCCATCGAACCCCAGTTGGCCAAAAAACTACATCCTTCCGGTTCACTGAAGACGCAAGCCTTTCAGTATGCACAAAACTTAAATGTTCAAGTCTGGTGGAACCCATCGACCTTTGCCTGATAACATATTTCAAATTCAATGGCAAGATATGCAAACGATGAACAAAATCGTCGGCCCCTTCACTTTCGTCTACATGAACATCAATCGGCTATTAAATATCACACACAATACATGTGGATAACAACTATGGACATGAATTCAATTTCGACAGTGTAGAAATCTTAGAGGGAGAGAGGAAACATAAAGGATATCAGAGAATTCCTAGGAGCTGGGCATTCACATCAGTCAATCAGTCAGTCAATCAGTAATCAACAGATGTACAGACATGAGAAACCCAATCTATCAACCAATAAGAGAAATGATGAACGACAGAAGGGTGAGAGGTGAAGCAGAAGAACAACCAATAAGAAAATCTGTACAGTCAGTCAATGACACAACAATCAAAGGAAACAACCAATCAGAGACCAGTTGGTCAGAGCAAGCTAGTGAATCACTCACTGATGAAGAGATATTGACAGGTCACTTCATACTGAAGTTATTACTGATGGTGTCACTGTCTAGAAAGACGATGAAAGCATCTTGACGATTAAACAACTTAGGTAGCTGAGAGAACACAATGCAACCAAGATCATCCACCTGCGCTAAAAATATTCTCTACTATTTCACAATCTACACCAATTAAGATGACCGACAAATAAGTGGGATGTCTTTCACTGCGAATTTTCTTATGAATTACAAATCAAAAGTCAAGGTAAACAGTCAAACCAAACGAAAAATAGTATGACAAATTTAATAAAATAATTAACTACCAATGAAGGAAGCTCATAGAGATATAAGACGTTCATAAGGGGTCACTAACATTTGGGGAGGTTAGAGCGAAATAGTGAGGGAGAAATGCTTAGCACAGAGCGTTAAATAAAAGTCACAAACAAATTTTTTACCATATATTAGAATAGTTTTGATCTTGAGTTCATGGTTAATAATTTATTTTATCTTGGACTGACGTATCGATTTCCAGTTGTAACTGAGCTCTCTTAGAATTGATTTAAACTTGTAATAGGTATTTATATAAAAACTCATGAAGATAAGGGGTGAGAAAATAAAAAGTTTTTATATAAATACCTTAAACTTGTAACTCACTAAAGGTTTAACATATAAGTATAGTTGAACGTAAAGTATCATTTACTACATTATCCCTGAGTGCTAAAGTCAAGTAAAACTCATTAACTCAAGGTCAAGTAAGTGAACGATTTCGTAACATCCTCATTAAACGTATTGAACCATACCCAGTATTATTATTATTATTATTATTATTATTATTATTTGTCACCTGGGTTCCTACTAGAACATACCGCTTCAGTAGCACGTCTCCATTCCACTGTCTTCTTTGAAATCTTTTCAACCTGGTTCCACGACATCCCAGAAGCTCTCATTTCTTCCTCACAAGATCTCCTCCATGTCACCCTTGCCTCAGACGCCCAACTATTCGTTACCCACCTGGGTTCCACTCGAGAGCCTGACACGTGATGTCTCCGAATGGTCTTCTTAGTGGATGCCAAATTCATCCCACTTCCATCTGCATATTTGTTGAGCTATGGAGTTGAGGTAGAGAGTTGACTGCCATTCTATACTCTGTTCTACGATGATGCGCAGCATGGCGTTGCATTTTGGTCGGCACATGATTTGTACTTCCTGAATCCAGCCAGCCTGTTCCGGTCGTAGTTTTGAATCCAGTGCATCTTTAAGCCTCTCCAGGATGATGCGGCTTAATATTTCACTTGGGGTGGATAGGAGGGTGATTCCGTGCCAGTTCTTGCAAACACTGAGGTCTCCCTTCTTCGGGAGTTTGACAAGGTAACCCTTCTTCCAATGAACTGGCAGGTACCTTCCCTTACTTCCACACCTTCTGCAGTAGTGGTGTGAGCATGTTCGCTGTTATCTCTGAGTCTGTTTTCAGTGTTTCTGGTGGGATTCCATCTGGTCCAGCTGCTTTCCCACATTTCAGTAGCTTTATGGCGTTCAGAACTTCAACTTTCGTCGGAAGGCTTTTGTTCACTTGTAGTTCTGTGGCTGGGATGCAGGTGGTATTTCTGGACGAAGTGCAGGTGATGGTGGTGGTTGATTCAAGAGCTTCCTGAAGTGGTCGGTCCATCGTTTCCTTTGTTTCTCTTCTTTGGTGATTAGATTTCCTTCTTCATTTTTAATTGGTTTCATCTGTGTTGATCTCTTTCCTGCCAGATAGTAACCTGGTTATTTGATACAATGTTGTCAGGTCTCTGTCTCTCCTACCAGCAGCCTGTTCTGCTTCACTTGCAAGTGTGTCGTGGAAGTGTCTTTTGTCTTTGCGTGCACTCTTCTTCACCTCTTTGTCTAGTGTTTTATAGGTTGCACTCAGTTCCTCTTGTCGTTGTGCATCCTTGCACTGATTTATCTTCTGTTTCACCATCCTCCTCTCCTCCATCAGCTTCTATGTGTCCATCAAGATTCATTCCTTCTCTTCTTTCTTCTTCCGTCTTAATACGGCTGTGCAGGTTTCTTTCCACATACCCAGTATATTCATGTTTATTTTGAAGAATCATTTTATAAGATATAAAAAGACAGGCATACCACAGGATACATTTTACTTAGTACATACGTTTAACAAATGAGTAGTATATGACTTATTTTTAAAACAAACACTTTGGTAACAATTTACTTACATCAACATCATTATGCTTATTGTTTGAATTATACATCAAATCTACTTTATGTTGACTATTATTCGTGTATTTGAAGTCTGTTTGATTCGATAAATGTCGATAACATTTTCCTTGCTCCTGGTGTTGTTGTTGATTCTTTTGAAGTTTACTCTGTAAATTATTCAATGATGAAGAGATTTTTGAATGAAACATTGAATTTTGAATATCTGTTGAACCTTGAATCACCTTCAATTTATGATTAATACACATTGTAGAAGAAATTGATTCATAATTCATTTGATTATTATGTTTCTATTTAGTAAATATTATGAAAATATAAATTTTGATATTTGAAATAAAAAGAGTAAAAGAAAACTGATTTGAATTCAAGTGAATTTACGGAAACTAGAGATCATGTAGTTTCGTTTACATTTTTCATCCCGTGTCGAAACACACTGACTATAGAATATTATCTACATCATAAGGAATATTGATACAGTAAATACACCAAGAAATGCGCTACACAAAATAAAACGAAGGGAGATGGATAAGTTTTTTTTTAAACGCAATAAGAATTGAATGATTGGAAGGGCAATCCAGTAAGAGATACATTCAAAACAAAACATTCATTACTTTTCAGTGGCAAAAGATAGAAGAAAGCTAAAGCATAATCACTATTGGTTTTGATTCAGAGCTATATATGATAACTTTTCAAGCTACTAAGTTCCATGATCTCTTGGACCCTACCTAGAAAGTTATGATACATCCCAAGCCACCGATGACGGTGTTTTCAGATGACTTCAATTATTGAATGAAAATCTTTACCATGGCCAAACACACATAGTCGTACCTCAAAATTACCTACATAATATTGCCACCAATGAGCAGTAGATCAATTGAATTTGGTGGTTTGTGAAGATTTTTTTGATTTTTCAAGTTGATAAATACCAACTTGAGAAGTGAGATATATCGCAATTAAAAAAATGTTAACATTTCAGGTGAAACTATGATGTATCACTTCATAGTTACATACGGAATTTCATTTTAAACTCTCGTAAGTGTACTTCAAGTCAATATCAAACACGTAGATTATTTTTTAATTCATCTTCTAGCTAATATCAATATACAAGTGAATTATAATAGATTATTTCGTCAGTGAACTATAGATGATCTAGAAGTACGATTCATCATGGATTGACGTCGGTTGGGGAACCATTGTAAATCTGAGAGCACTGGACAGCTGTCTCATCCTAGTATGCCACTTCTCAGCTATACGAACCCACCACCCAGCTACAGATCCAACTCAGGACCTTCAGGGTTCACATCGAACACGTTAATCATTCAGCCAGTCGATCAGTTCCCAGTGGTTCATAATTTTCAACTTCTGTCAATTCACAACATACCACGACTACCACCCAAGGTGACTTGCTTCCAGATGGATATCAGGAAGGTGTAATGAGAAGCTGTGACCTGTGGTGTCAACCAGTCAGAAGTGAAGTGAATGCTAACTGAAGACCTTAGGTGATAGTCGCGGTATATTGTGAATTGAGAGAAGTAGGAAATTGTGAACCACTGGGAACCGATCGACTGGCTGAATGATCAACGTGTTCGCTGTGAAACCTGAAGGTCCTGAGTTGGATCCGTAGCTGGGTGGTGGGTTCGTATAGCTGAGAAGTGGCATACTAGGATGAGACAGCTGTTCAGTGCTCTCAGATTTCCAATGGTTCCCCAACCGACGTCAGTCCATGATGAATCGTACTTCTAGATCATCTATAGTTCACTGACGAAATAATCTATTATAATTCACTTGTATATTGATATTAGCTAGAAGATGAATTAAAAAATAATCTACGTGTTTGATATTGACTTGAAGTACACTTACGAGAGTTTAAAGTGAAATTCCGTATGTAACTATGAAGTGATACATCATAGTTTCACCTGAAATGTTAACATTTTTTTAATTGCGATATATCTCACTTCTCAAGTTGGTATTTATCAACTTGAAAAATCAAAAAAATCTTCACAAACCACCAAATTTAATTGATCTACTGCTCATTGGTAACTGACTAGCTTCGAGAGGTGATTTCTCAAGTTCCATTCAGAAGTCGTCACCGGTGGTGCAAACCTGATGGCCATGAGGAAAAATACTCAACGATGATATTCAGTGATGATCGCGCTATGTCATGAAGTGACAGAAATTGGAGATATAAATAATCGGATTCCGACACAGCGGTTCAGCGCTAACGTGCTGACCACGGAACCTGAAGGTCACGGGTTCGATCCCTGGTAGGGTGGAGTAGTGGTTGTATACTGCTGAGAAGTCCCATACTAGTGGGAAGAAACAGCTGTCCAGTGCTCTCAGGTTTCCAATATTCCTTTAACTGATATCAGTTCATGATGAATACCAACTTGAAATATCTGTAAATCCCCACAACCCTCCTAAATTCAATATCTGACTTCAACTCGCTCTCAGTATTCCTATTTAGTGGTTTCATTATCCGACATATTCTTGGTTTTGCTACTTGATTATGTAATATAAACGGGGATGGGGACAGATAGCTAAGTGATAACATGTTAGTCGTCAGAAGAAATCCCCTAGGTTCAACTCAAAAAATGTAAGAGGTAAACGGAGGCACTGTGGTAGAGTATTATTTACTATTAGTATTATTACTACTACTATCACTGCATATTACATCAAACAAACTGACGTAATACAGAATCACACAAGAGATACCTCTTGTGGTCTTGCGACCTAGTGGATAACGCTTTGGGGTTTGAAGTGATGGGTTTTAGGTCCAAGTGTCAGTGGGAAAAACATCACCCACTGAGTTGAAGGCACAGCCAGCTGACGAGTCTCAAATAAGACGAAATGCATGTCCTGGATTCCACTGTTATCCACCAAGCAGATAACAATGCTTAGAGAAGACTGAAACAGCTCAAAAAACTTACTGGTGACTGGTAGGAGTAGTTAAACACCACTCACTCACTCACACTAACAGTGCTCACTAGCCATTATTAAAGGTAGTCTAAACATGAAATGCCTATTTTCCTCATCAGTAGTCTATCCAAATAAATTGGATAAACACTGTTCATCAAATTCAACAGTCAGAAACTATTCATGATAGTCAGTAGTATATTTCATGTTTGACATCTTGGTGCTAGAATTAGTGTTAATAACATTACATCTTTCACTTCGACTATTTTAGTTTCTAGTTGTTATTCATTGTAAACTGACATCAGTTGGAGGAACAATGGAAACCTGGGAGCACTGGACAGTTGCTTCAGCCCACTACCATGGGACTCCTCAGCAGTGCTCACCCACGACACCACCAGGGATCGAACATGCGAACATCGGGTTCCGTGATTAGCACGTTACCATTGAGCCAGTGGTCCATATTTCAAACTTCTGTCAGCTCACGATATACAGCAACCACCACCCAATGTCATGACTTCTTATTAGAACTTCGGGAATCATCTCTCGAAGCCAGTCATCAATGAGCACCAGTTCAATTAAATTTTGAAGGAGTTATGGGGATTTGGAAATATTTCAAGTTGTTATTCATCTTAGACTGACACCAGTTGAAGCAAAAAAGGAAACCTGGGAGCACTGGACAGCTGTCTACGATGAATAACAACTTGAAATATTTCCAAATCCCTATTCCTTCTTCTTCTTCACCAGTTATGCAATTTAACAATACAGTTGACACGATTTGATTTCCACTAAACTGTGTGAATAAGTTCAACTCAAAGAATTCTAATTAGTAGATTGTTATAGCAACACAGCTAACCTATAAAGAAGAAAGGGATCAAAGTCAATAGGGAATATATCGAACCTTCAAATGGTTATAATTTACAGCAATATATATACATATGAACAAAGTGGTCAAAGAAAGAATGATATTAAAGTAGATGAGATTTTATGAATGAAAAAAGTTGAAAGTGCTAAAGAGTGGATGAATTTGCATGTTTGTGAACCATTGATTCCTAGTATCTTCAGCATACAAGTCAAGTAACCTACACAGCCCAAGCTAATTATCAAAAATTTCATGCATTCTTGTTATATTATGAATGACATCTTAGCCTTGCGATTATTCATCCTTATTCGACATAGAATGATTAGGTCCCTTATACCATCTTCAACATATTTCATTTATCTTTAGACACATTATTTTTAATGATAGGCATCTACAAAACCTCAACCTTCTTAGTATTGTTGTGTTTATGGGAAAGATCCATGTTTATACGATGAACAAGATTGTATACACACTAATATTCAGAAACTCAAGGAAGGATATATCATCATCTTAATCCCTCATTTACCCCGTACTATAACGGTGGAACTACTTGAATTGAGTTCAGCTTGAATCTGCATTACTTTGAGAGGTTGTTAAATGAAATCGTCATCCTAATGATTGTATACATACACTTAATATCTAATTTTAAGTTGATTTTCATCATGGGTTGATAACAGTTACAGGAACACTAGAAACTTGGAAGCACTAGACATCTGTTTCGTCCTAGTATAGGACTCTTCAGCAGTAAGCATTCACGACCCCACCCCACTATGGGTCGGACCCAGGACCAGCAAGTTACCACTGAGCCACTCGGTCGGAATCAAACGGTTCATATTTTCAACTTCTGCCTGTTCATGACAGAGCAATCATCATCCAATGTCATCTCTGAGTATTTATCCTTATGGTAACCAGGTTTGTTACACCTATCATAACTTTGCATTCGAACTTGATGACTCACATCTTGAAGGCGGTCACCAATGAGCACTAGATCAATTGAATTTAGGTGTTTGTGGGGATTTGGAGATATTTTAAGTTGGTTTTCATTATGAACTACCTCCGAGAGGTGATTCTTGAAGTGGGGCAAACCTGGTGAACATGAGGACAAATACTCAACCATAACATTAGATGATGGTTGCGATACGTCATGAAAAGTCAGAAGTTAAAATATGGACCATTGGATTCCCTCCCACCCAGTGGCTCAGTGATAAGGTGCTGGGTTCGATCCCTGATAGGGTAGGGTTGTGGGTGTGAGCTGCTGCAGAATCCCATACTAGAATGAAACAGGTGTCAAGAGCTTCCAAGTTTCCAATGTTCCTTCAATGAATGTTATCCCATGATGAAAACCAACTTAAAATACCTCGAAACCTCTACAAACCCCCAAATTCAACTCATATCTTATTGCTCAAAAGAATAGTGAACATAACCAGTTATTATGAGAAATAAATTGCAGGGAATTAAGACTGTTAGAGGAGAAAACATGTTATGTTTCACGTAAGACTTTCCAGCTGTTTATCCCCACCGAGATTCGACAACAGTATAAATCTCTTCAGAGATTATCAAATAGGCTACTGAGTAACGATAGGTGGTCGCTGTGCATTACTGTTTAAAGGGATTTATATGCAGTATAAAGGCATCCAAACAAGATGCGTATACATCAACATCAACTAAGCAATATGGATTGAAACAATAATAAATTATAAGTAGTAACTTTAAGCTAGGGAGTGCCACAAATCTTTATCATCCTCATTCAACAACTATGTGACGACGCCACATGTCAAGTGATGCATATTAGAAAGCTCAGTGATGCCTTTGAAGTGAAGACCGACAGGAGTAAGACAAGGTTACTGTCTATTATCACCTATGATCTCCCTGATTGTGGTCGGCTGGATTATGAAGCAAACCTTGAGGAGTGAGAAGATGGGAATACACTAGACTGATGGAAAGAGCCTAGAAGATTTGGATTTCACTGATGATTTGTGTTTAATGTCGCACAAACTCGAAGATCTACAAGCGAAAACTAACAAGTTGACAGAAGAGGCAGGGAAGAGAAGACGGGACTTCAAGTGAATGTAGACAAGACGGAGGTGATGAAGATACCCAACGAACAACAGTATCAACAGCAAGCACTAATCACCATCAACGGGAGAAATCTAAACGAAGTAGTCTCTTTCACCTACGCCTACGTAGGCAAGGCGGCATCGTTTCAACTACAGACAACATAGGCACAGACAAGGATGTCAAAACCAGGATTGGAAAAGACAGCAAGACAGGCTTTCATTAATCCGAAATTATCTATGTGGAGATCTATTGCACTCAGCATAAAGAACAAGATGCGAATTTCCAACATCATTGTCAAGTTAGTACTGTTATATGGTGCTGGCGCGTCATGTAAAACACTTCTAACAAACTACATACATCATACATCAACAGCCAGCTGCCACCTACGCTCACTCGATATTGAGACTGAAGATCAGATAGCCAGTATAATAATAAGAAGCAACAAGAAACTCTGGGAATGAACCAACCAAGAACCTATCACTCAACAAATATGCATTGGGAAGAAGTGGAGATGGATTGGGCATACACTGAGAAGGCCGACTGGGGACATCACGCGCCAGGTCAGGCACTCGAGTGGAATCCAATGGGGGAAACGACGTGTTGGGCGTGCTAGGCGAGGGTGACATGGGGGGATTATGTGAGGAAGAAATGAAAGCTTGTGGGGAGTGGTGGAGCCAGGTTGAAAAAATTGCAGAGAACAGAGTGTAATGCCGACGTGCTGCTGAAGCCCTATGTTCCACTAGGAACCCAAGGGAAAAATAATAATAATAATGACGATGATGATAATAATAATAATAGTAATAGGTAACTTCAAGCATTTACTCTGTTCTGTTGATGACTATCCATTTTTTGATGAATTGATGAAACACTTTCATATTGTAAATCATCAGTAGCTTTGATTACATCATGTTGTTTTGTATTGTTGTTGAATTTCTGATTTCGTAATTTATTACCATCTATTTTATAATTAGCTAAAAAGTAAAAGGAATATAATAGCTCTATATTAAATCAATTTACAAGATAAATTTATCAGATTAGTTGAAATACTATACATCAATACTACTAATAAATATGTATAGATGTATAGTGGATGGAAATAAAATTTTTATGATACAATTGAATATTGAGGGAGTTGTGGAGATTTGAAAATATTTCAACTTGTTATTCATCGTTGACTGACATCAGTTGGAGGAACAAAAGAAACCTTGGAGTATTGTAAGGCTGTTTCATCCCCCTACCATGAGATTCCTCAGCAGTGCGAGTCCACTACCCCAACAGAGATCGAACCCGTGACCCTCAGGTTCCGTGACCAGCATGTTACCATTGACCCACTAGGTCACAATCCAATCGGCCATATTTCCAACTTTTGTTAGCTAACGATGTCAGTCAACGATGGATAACAACTTGAAATATTTCCAAATCTCCACAACTCCCTCAAAATTCAATTGTATCATAAAAATTTTATTTCTGTCCACTATACATCTATACATATTTATTAGTAGTCTGTTTCACCTACCTAGGCAAGGCAGCACCGTTTCAATTACAGGCTGCGGCGGCGGCACAGATGAAGACGTGAAAATCAGGATCGGAAAGACACCTAGGCAGGTCTTCCTGCATTAATCTGGAACCAGTGTGATCTACTGCACTGCGCTGCACTGTATTGCACTGCACTCACCATAAAGCATCAACAACACCCGGATTTTCAACACTAATCTCAATTTAGTTAATGCTTCTATGTGATGGTTGAGAGACTTGACGGTGCGTTTCAGAAAGCATTTCCAACAAACTGCAGATGTCGTACATCAACAGCTGCCACCTACGCTCACTCGATACTGACACTGAAGATGAGACGGTGAGAATAATAAGAATAAGCAACAAGGAACTCTGGCTGGCTGGCTAGCTGGCTGGCTGGCTGGCTGGCTGGCTAGCTGGCTGGCTGGCTGGCTGGCTGGCTGGCTGGCTGGCTGGCTGGCTGGCTGGCTGGCTGGCTGGCTGGCTGGCTGGCTGGCTGGCTGGCTGGCTGGCTGGCTGGCTGGCTGGCTGGCTGGCTGGCTGGCTGGCTGGCTGGCTGGCTGGCTGGCTGGCTGGCTGGCTGGCTGGCTGGCTGGCTGGCTGGCTGGCTGGCTGGCTGGCTGGCTGGCTGGCTGGCTGGCTGGCTGGCTGGCTGGCTGGCTGGCAAGGAACCAACGAAACAAGAACGTATCGTGCAACAAATATGCAGTAGAAGAGTGTGAAGATGGATTCGATTGAATATACACTGAGAAGACCGATTAGGGACATCACGCGCCAGGTCAGGCACTCGAGTGGAAGCCAAATGGGAAAGCACGAGTTGGGCATCTCAGCTGAGGGTAACATGAAGGAGATCATGTGAGGAAGAAATGAAAGCTTGTGGGCAGTAGTGGAGGCAGGTTGAAAAGAGTGAAATTATGACGTGCCAGTGAAGCTCTATATTCCACTAGTAACCCAAGGGACAAATATTAGTAATAATAAGTTGGTCTGAATGAGAAGACATCCTGATATGCGATAAATCGCTATAGTGAGAATCACAGCATATCACCTTGATGACTTACTTCGCTTGATCTACTGTAATCTACCTGTGGATTTGCGTAGATTTATGGGTTTTTCAGTTATTTTTTGGTTAATAGATGTTATATATATGTGAAGTAAGGAGCTGATCTGCGTACAATCGCAACCTCCATTTTCTTATATGGATATAAATTGTTTTTGACATAATGAGACATTATCAAACAAAACAACTACCTCATTTGATGTGTATGTAGAGGCTTCGAACCCCTTTGATGTTTTTATGCTTGCACTGATACTCCTTAATAACTTCTTGTGAACATTTATTGTAAGATATGATTGTAGAAAGACTGGATGGTATTAAATATATTTTCATCAACATAATCTGAATGAATATCTGAATCATTTTTTATTTCGTGATTGATAGTGTAGGGGTTAATATTGTTCTCATCCATCAATGTAACATGATTCATATTATCAGGCTTCTTATACTTATTTTCAGCTTCATCATGTCCATTATTGAAGTAGTTAGAAAAGGTTGTTTTTTTTTTCATAATCTGAAGATTTATGGATGTTGGATGGTTGGGAGACCAATCAGCCACGTGTTTTACTAAGGTGGTTGTACTATTCAGTACATTTAAGTATAACATTATTACCTCAAGTTAGTATTTATTATTACCGACCAACTGATATCTTAGTATGGCACTCCTCAGAAGTGCGTACCCACGATCATACCACTTAACAAGCTCAGTACCTCTCGGATAAGACAGAATCCAATCATCAACATTTTCCTACTCCTGTCAGTGTGTAATATAATTTGACATTCATCTAATCCCGTTGTTGAGTATCTTTTCTCATATCTGATCTGATTTATCACAGCAATTCCGATCCACAGGCTTAATGTTAACGTGTACACTTAGGAACGTAAAAGTTCTAGGTGTGATCCTCTCAACGGGGGTAGTAGATGCCCAGTACTCAAAAGTCCTATTGAATGACAAAATAATTGTTCAATTCCACTAGGTTTTCATTGGTTCCCCCAAAAATGATACCATTCTAAGTTGTATAACAATATTGTTTACTGAATAGAAAAGGAATAATTGTGTTCAACTTACATTGGGTTAATATTTCATCATATTCTGAAGACATTACTTCTGTTGGTAATTCTAAAGCTGATGAAGATGATTTACTTGGAGTTATATCTTGATAACAGTTAAAGTTTGTTTCACTCATGTAATTTTCATGACCATTATTATTATTATTAGTAGTAGTAGTAGTATTTGATAATTCCTTTTGAATATTAGGTGTAGAACAATATTTTCGATTATTTGATAAATTATGATCATAATTATTGAATGAACTTCTACCATTATCATAGGTATCATTCAATGATTCAACACCATCATAGTCTTGATCAATTAGTGTAGTTTCTGTATAACATGATTTATGATTATTTTCATGCAATTGTCTATTATCTATACTGATGATAACTCCTTTTGGAGTAGCCTAATAAAGATGAGAGAGAAAGAAAGAAATCAAAGGGGATAAGCACAAACCTTTTTAATAAAATTATATCTTAGTAAAAAATTCATTATCTCATATAATTGGCTATCAGAAAACCTATTAAACAAATTTCGTTTTACGTCATAATCTGGTATCACAAATTGTTACATAGACATCATAGAGTTGAATTTGCTCATCATTTCATAAGGGATGGATATCAACTGTGATTAATTAGTAGAAAGGAACTGGTGACAACCACTTTATCCTACTATCAGAGTTTTAACAAGTTGTAGAATGTAATTCCATAATTACTGTCATTACTATTATTATCATATACTTATTTTTCCCTTGGGTTCCTAGTGAAACATACGGCTTCAGTAGCACATCTCCATTACACTCTCTTCTCTGCCATCTTTTCAACCTGCCTTCACCACTTCCAACAAGCTTTCGTTTCTTCCTCACATGATCTCCTCTATGTCACCCTCGCTGCGTCTCCACTTTCTTCACATTCAGATAAAGTCGATCTGGTTTTTAGTGTGTCCTGGTGTCTGGTGAAATCTATGTCGCTGCCTTGCGGATATCTTTGTGCCTGAACACACTGCCTCCAATCACCAAATCGTTGAATGCACAGAATTCTGCAAACAATTCTCCATTCTCGTTCATCACCTCACCGAGCGCTTCTCGACCCATGGTTAGTTCTCTTCCTGTGTTGTCCACTTCCAGTTGGAGATTCATATCGCCCATTAGAATTTTGATATCGCCAACTGCGGTGAGGTCTTGTCCAGTGTTGATTGAAGTTGTCTGTAGAATCCCTCCTTTTTCTCTTGCTCTGCATTATCTGTAGGTGCATAGCATTGTATGATTGTGACCTTCCTTCCTTTTGAGTTGAATCTTGCTGTCATGATCCTGATGCTGGAGGAGATTGGTTCCCACTGCATGAGAGACAGCCTTCGATGCTGTAGGGGACATCATGATAGCCACTCCATAACTCAGTGTGCTCTTGGTTGTTGTCTGGGTGAGAATATCGGAGTAGATTATTGATTCTCCAGTTGACAGTTTGGAGAGTCCACTTTCATTCCACCTGCTTTCGTAGATTCCAAGCACTTCTATGCTATACCTTCTCATCTTTTTTGCAATCCGGGCAGCTTTGCTGGGTTCAGGCATAGTGTGAATATTCCTTGTTTCCATGTTTACTTTAGCTTTCATCGAAATGAGACACAGCTGCCGACTGGCTTTCCGAAGGCTTTCACCAACCGGCTTCATTTCGTCTCTCCCATTCCAGCGGGGAATAAGTTTGTTTTCATTTTTTATATTTTGTTTGTGCTTTGAAGTTTGTTTAGCGATTGGATTGGTTTTCCAGTGCAGGGTTGCTAGGCCTATGCCCAACCTTCCCTCTTTATTCGGGCTTAGGACGGGCTAGTAACTAGTGAATTAGTTAACCAGGCAAGGTTGATGTCAGTCTATAATGAATACCCATTTTGAAATAAAAATCTCTGAGTCCCTATATACTACCGAATTCAACTTTTAAAACTACCAAAAATGCCCAACCTAATACATGTTCAAGTAGTAATCAATTGATTGCCATTATGCCTAAGACTGAAATATTTTGACTAGATACAGTCAACAGAAACCATTCAGGTAAGGATTCATGTTTACTGATACTTATCAAACCAATGTATATGTTACTTGATAGCTTTCTCTTCATAGTATTGTCAACTGTTATTTAAAGCCACAATATCTTAATATTGATATTTTAAAGGCTTTTTTCATCTAGGACAGGCATCAACTAGAAAAACATGGAAAATATAGAAGTGTTCAACAAACTTTTGCACCGGTACACACATGAGGCTATATGTTGTATTGTCAAGCATAGCCCAGTCAAGTCTTGTCAACATCACATCAGCTGACCCTACAGATTACGGCTTCTTTCAACTGGAACTTTGACAAGTCAGTCTTGAAGCAGTTCATCAGTAAGGTTGATGCGGAAATGATAAATTTCTAAAATGTTCATATTGATCCATGATGAAAACTCCTTTCAAGTCGATTTATTGCCCTTAACTCTTCAAATTATTTGGCAGCCACATGCTTACAACAGGATAAGAAATCGGTAACACTCTAAAATCAAGGTGTTTCAGATATGTCTCATTGACAAGTGGTAACAAATATAAAGTCTAGGATTAATGGGGCATTCCTCTGATTTTCGATAGCATAATTAGAAGACGAAGTTTATTTGAGCAATGTGATGTGTTTGCGCAACACATTTCGAACAATCTGATCACACACACACACACACTTACTTGTCAAGTCATTATTTATTAAACCAAGGACTGGGAGGGGGGGGCAGATAAATACAACAATTAACACAATAAGGGATTAAAATTAAGAAAGATGAGAACAAACAGGAAGAGTGACCTGTTTGTTCCTAATCTTGGAAAGAAAATAAAGTTTACCAAGAGGTAGGTGTAGTGTATGAACAAACTGTTTCTGTACACATAAAGATGGTTTCAATTTGTGTATGGTTATGGATTCCACAAATCTCAGTAGATGTCCCTGACTGACTGTTTCTATATAAAACTTTCAAAGGTGTTTGAACATTAACTTTGTGACATATTTCTATGATATATTTAGCTATACATGAAGAGGGTCGTCTCCTCCACCAGCGTTGATCACTGTTTCACACTCCATTTGTTTTCGAAGCCATTTAGGAACATGTTCTCCTCTCCCACCCTTACCTGCATAACTCGATTACTCCTCCCTCATGTATGTGTGACCACACATAGGTGGGAGATGACTCTCTTCATTTGTAGCTAAACATATCATAAAAACACGTCACAAAGTTAATGTTCAAACACCTTTGAAAGTTTTATATAGAAACAGTCAGTCAGGGACATCTACTGAGATTTGTGGAATCCATAACCATACACAAATTGAAACCATCTTTATGTGTACAGAAACAGTTTGTTCATACACTACACCTACCTCTTGGTAAACTTTATTTTCTTTCCAAGATTAGGAACAAACAGGTCACTCTTCGTGTTTGTTCTCATCTTTCTTAATTTTAATCCCCTATTGTGTTAATTAACCTCGCCTGGTTAACTAATTCACTAGTTACTAGCCCGTCCTAAGCCCGGGTATACAGGGAAGGTTGGGCATAGGGCTAGCAACCCTACACTGGAAAACAAATCCAACCGCTAAACAAACTTCAAAGCACAAACAAAATATAAAAAATGAAAACAAACTTATTCCCCGCTGGAATGGGAGAGGCGAAATGACGCCAGTTGGTGAAAGCCTTCGGGAAGCCAAGTGGCCGGGCTGATGTGTCTTCTCTCCCTCGATGAAAGCTAAAGTAAACGTGGGGACATGGAATGTCCGCACCATGTTTGAACCCAGTAAGGCAGCCCGGATTGCAAAAAAGATGAGAAGGTATAGCATAGAAGTGCTTGGAATCTACGAAAGCAGGTGGAATGAAAGTGGACTCTCCAAACTGTCAACTGGAGAATCAATAATCTACTCCGATATTCTCACCCAGACAACAACCAAGAGCACACTGAGTTATGGAGTGGCTATCATGATGTCCCCTACAGCATCGAAGGCTGTCTCTCATGCAGTGGGAACCAATCTCCTCCAGCATCAGGATCATGACAGCAAGATTCAACTCAAAAGGAAGGAAGGTCACAATCATACAATGCTATGCACCTACAGATATGCAGAGCAAGAGAAAAAGGAGGGATTCTACAGACAACTTCAATCAACACTGGACAAGACCTCACCGCAGTTGGCGATATCAAAATTCTAATGGGCGATATGAATCTCCAACTGGAAGTGGACAACACAGGAAGAGAACTAACCATGGGTCGAGAAGCGCTCGGTGAGGTGATGAACGAGAATGGAGAATTGTTTGCAGAATTCTGTGCATTCAACGATTTGGTGATTGGAGGCAGTGTGTTCAGGCACAAAGATATCCGCAAGGCAGCGACATAGATTTCACCAGACACCAGGACACACTAAAAACCAGATCGACTTTATCTGAATGTGAAGAAAGTGGAGACGCAGTTAGCCTACTTGACACAAGATCAAGAAAGGGAGGAGATGTAGGTTCCGACCACTCACTATCGAGTGCAAAGAACCTTCGAAATCAAGTTAAAAGCCTTCAAGGAAGCTGGTGATAGACCTCAATTCAAGTACAACACTCGGAAACTGAAGGATGAAACTACAAAGGAAATCTTCACGTCAGCCATCAAGACAAAATGGGAGATATCGAGGAAGATCCCTGAAGAAACCTGTGTGGAAGAACACTGGAAGTCTTTGAAAGAGATGTGGAAAGAGACCTGCACAACAGTATTAGGAAGGAAGAAGAAAGGAGACAAGGAATGGATCTCGACGGATACCTGGAAGCTGATAGAGGAGAGGAGGATGGTGAAGCAGAAGATAAACCAGTGCAAGGACGGTCAACGACTAGAGGAACTGAGTGCAACCTATAAAACACTGGATAAAGAAGTGAAGAAGAGTGCACGGAAAGACAAAAGACACTTCTACGAAACACTGGCAAGTGAAGCAGAACAGGCTGCAGGTAAGAGAGACCTGACAACATTGTATCAAATAACCAGGTTATTATCTGGGAGGGAAGAGATCAACACAGATGAAACCAATAAAAGATGAAGAAGGAAATTTAATTACGAAAGAAGAGAAACAAAGGAAACAATGGGCTGGCCGACCACTTCAAGAAGCTGTTGAATCGACCACCACCTGCACTTCGTCCAGAAATAACACCTGCAGCCGCTGAATTACAAGTGAACATAAATCCTCCAACAAAAGTGGAAGTCCTTAACGCCATAAAGCTACTGAAATGCGGGAAAGCGGTTGGACCAGACGGGATACCACCAGAAGCACTGAAAACAGACTCAGAGACAACAGCGGACATGCTCACACCACTATTGCAGAAGGTGTGGAAGGAAGAGAAGGTACCTGGTGATTGGAAGAAGGGTCACCTTGTCAAACTGCCGAAGAAAGGAGACCTCAGTGTTTGCAAGAACTGGCACGGAATCACTCTCCTGTCCACCCCAAGTAAAATATTAAGCCGCATCATCCTGGAGAGGCTTAAAGATGCACTGGATTCAAAACTGCGACCGGAACAGGCAGGCTTCAGGAAGTACAAATCATGTGCAGACCAAATTGCAACGCTTCGCATCATCATAGAACAGAGCATAAAATGGCAATCAGCTCTCTACCTCAACTTCATCGACTTTGAGAAGGCCTTTGATAGCGTCGACCGTGAAGTAATTTGGAAACTGCTTCAATACTACGGAATACCGCAAACCTTTATCAGCCTCATTCAACAATTATATGAAGATGCCACATGCCATCCAAGTAATTCACAATGGGAAGCTCAGTGATGATTTTGAAGTGAAGACAGGAGTGAAACAAGGTTGCCTACTATCCCCATGATATTCCTGATTGTGGTCGACTGGATCATGCAGCAAACAGTGGGCAGCGAGAAGAGGGGGATACACTGGCTGGACTGTGGAAAAGAACCTAGAAGACTTGGATTTTGCCAACGATGACTTGTGCCTAATGTCACATAAACTTGAAGATCTACAGGCAAAAACTAACAAGTTGATAGAAGAGGCAGGGCAGAGAAGACGGGACTTCAAGTGAATATAGAGAAAACAGAGGTGATGAAGATACCGCACCACCAACAACAACAACAAACTCCAATCACCGTCAACGGGAGCAACTTAAAGGAAGTAACCTCCTTCACTTATCTAGGAAGCGCTGTTTCAACTACAGGCGACACGGGCACAGACGAGGATGTCAAAGTCAGAATCGGAAAAGCAAGACAGGCGTTCATTAGCCTGAAACCAGTGTGGAGATCTTCTGCACTCAGCATGCCGAACAAGATACGGATTTTCAACACCAACTTCAGTCAAGTCAGTGCTTCTGTATGGTTCAGAGGCTTGGCGCGTCACGAAAGGGATTTTCAACAAACTACAGACATTCATCAACAACTGCTTACACTGGCTCGCTACTGAAGATCAGATGGATTGCCAGAAATAATAAGCAACAAGGAGCTCTGGGAACGAACCAACCAAGAACCTATCACCCAACAAATATGCAGGAGGAAGTGGAGATGGATTGGGCATGCACTGAGAAGGCCGACTGAGGACATCACGCGTCAGGCCAGTTGCTCGAGTGGAATCCTCATGGGAAGCGACGAGTTGGGTGTCCGTGGTGAGGGTGACATGGAGGAGGTCGTGAGAGGAAGAAATGAGAGTTTGTGGGCTGTCGTGGAACCAGGTTGAAAAGATTTCAGAGAACAGAATTCACTGGAGACGTGCTACTGAAGCCCTATGTTCCACTAGGAACCCAAGGGACTAATAATAATAATAATTGTGTTAATTGTTGTATTTATCCCCCTCCCTCCCAGTCCTCGGTTTAATATATATTGACTTGACAAGTAAATGTGTGTGTGTGATCAGATTGTTCGAAATGTGTTGCGCAAATACATCACATTGCTCAAATCAACTTCGTCTTCTAATTACGCTATCGAAATTCATGAAAGGGACTAATTGTTTCAAATTTCCACTGATTGCCTTCTCTTATCTATCATCAGTCAAAATGCACCGAAATATTAGGCATCCCAGCCTAATGATCCGTAAAAATCGGTCAGTACTCATGATTAGACAATATGAAATCGGTTAGTCTTCAGCGATTTTTAAGAAATAAATTATCCCAACCGAAAAAAGGACAAATAAAAAAAACAAACATACCATTTCATCCTCAATTTGTACTTCTTGATGGTTGTTTCGAAGAAGTGAGTTTTTATTAGATCCAACAGCTGTAAAATAGTAATAATTCGATGTTGTAACAAGAGAGTTGGGTCTGGGAATAAGGCTTGTACAATTCACATTGTTATTATTATGATGATGATGGTGATGATGACACGGAAGTGACTGTTGAGAGCTACCACTACCGATGACACTTGAATTACTATCACTCTGATGGAAGCCGCAATTCGATGACTGATGATGATGAAGTACGAGTGAGTTTGAACATTTCCCTGTGTAAGATACTGACTGTGGGAATGTGATAATGGACTGACAGTTGAATATCTAGAAGGAAGGAGACCAAGAAAAAGAACGAAGAACATATTCTAGATGCATTTTCAGTTTACGATGTCAAATAAACAGTCATATATCATCATCAAGATCAACATAGGACTAGGCATTACTATACAACGGTCCAATGTGCCACCAACACTTTATATCAGCACATCCACTAACAAGGCAGTAAGACGGAAGATCAAGAAGGAAGGGAAAATCGATCAAAGAAGTAGAAAGTGGTAAATGAGAGGAACGAAGAATGAGAAAATGATGAGATTAAGTGTGGTGGTTAAGATGAGGATAATGTGTGTAGACATCTGCACCACTGACATCTGTTCTGAGCCATATCACCTGCAGTCTCTAACCAGTGGTTTCTGTTCTTCCGCCCACACCAACCACCTAGTCTGTATCGCCTCAAATGGTTCAAACCAACAGTTATGTTTTACTCTTGCCGCCTTGAGCCTTTTTCCAGTCTGAAGCTATTTTGGTCAACATTGTGTGACAAGGCAATCAACAACTAGGCATATGTAACACATATCGGAGTCAACCATCTTGGTTGACAAAGGTTCACAACCGTGTCAACTAAGTTACCTCTTCTCCGTAAAACTGTACATCTGACTTCTGGGTTACTCACATGATGACAGCACAAAACACAGCCTATGTTACTTTGGCAAAAGTGGTCAGACACCTGAAACCTTTTCACGTCTTTTAATTTTAATCACCATGTTTCACAGGCATACAGTAGAACAAAGGGGACTGTGGTACAGTACACCTGACCTTGAATAGACGATCGGATATCGTAGCGGCGCGAAAATCTTATACAGACGCAAGTACTTCAGTTCAAAGTATACTATGTCTCACAACAGATCATAAAGTCATTGTGATCGACTTTAAGACATGTCATCAGTAGTCTGTAACTGTTAATCTCTAACATCTTAAGGATCTAATTTATGCAATGTTCTGATCTTGAGACGGCTCAAAACTTCATGAACTGGTTAACTATACTTGGCCTTTTCCCAATGCAGAAAGTAGCTAGACAGTAACTCAACATAAGGAATATATGCCCCTACTATTTTGGAGTAAATTTGTAACCTCATCAAAAGATGTGTACTTCGTTGCCCAGCACCCACGCTTCTAACGTCAACACTGCTTTTTTTAAACAACAAGTGACCAAGTGTTAACACTGAAAAGTAGAATTTTTTTTCTGTTTTTCCCTGATATTTAAGTTAGACCATAGCAAATCATTTTAAGCTGATAGAAATAAATTTATTTTTAAAGAAAAATTTCGTTGTATAAGGTGTATTTTTACTTGTGTAATCCCTTGGAGTAGTATATTACAACAAATAACAAAATAACCAACATATTTTGTATTATTCCTCAATGTTTCGATCTTGCTAGGAAGATCCTTTTGAAGAGTATGTATCTGAGACATTAGGTTTTCAGGTTAATATTCAAGTTTTGGTACAGAAAGTGGTGACCTTTACGATCATCCAATTATATCGTGATATAGAGCGAGGATCGATGTAATACAGGTGAGTGAATAAGCAACTCTGTCAGAGAGGTTTTTTCGTTGTTCGAGTAAGATGGAACAAAAATAGGGTGGGGAAAATTTTTCAGTTCGTCTATGAAAAGTACAATGGATTACTAGTATGCTAGGATGAATATTTGAAGGTCAGACAATATATAATAAATAAACAGTATATTTTTGAGATGAATGGGGATTTTTTAACTTCGAAGTAGTATTCATCATGGACTGACATCAGTTGGGGGAATCATTGAAAATCTGGGAGCATTGGACAGTGGCTGTTCCCGCCTAGTATGGGACTCCTCAGTAGTACGTACCCATGACTCGGCTAGGGATCGAACTCAGGACCCATACTAGGAGGAAGCAACCACTGTACAATGCTCCCAGATTTTCAATGGTTCCCTAACTGATGTCAGTCCATGATGAATATTACTTCTAAAATAAATAATAATAATAACGATAAATATTATGGTTCATCGACTGTATATGACTCACAAAGTAACGTAAAACTGATGAAAATAGTAGATCAATAAAGTGCTATGTACTAAGACTAGACAAGCTGTTAAAATGCAACCAATATACTTTTTTCTTCCCTTTTCCTCATAGTTAAGATGATTAAGAGAAATCACACCGGAAACTATTCAAACAAGAGTAAAATTCGGAATAAATAAAACATCATGTGGAATGAAATTGTGTTCTACCTTCTCTTCAAATATTATTCCTTTACTGTCTAGGCGAGTCATTAATGTTTACCACCATATTAATGGGATGGGTTAGACATCCCACTATATGGTGGCAAACATTAATGACTCGCCTAGACAGTAAAGGAATAATATACAAAATATGTTTACTTTTTTTATTTAAATTTTGAGGGAGTTGTGGAGATTTGGAAATATTTCAAGTTGTTATTCATCGAAGACTGACATCAGTTGGAGGAACAATGGAAACCTGGGAGCACTGGACAGCTGTTTCGTCCTAGTATGGGACTCCTCAGCAGTGCGCACCCACGACCCCACCAGCAGGGATCGAACCCGCGACCTTCAGGTTCCGTGACCAGCACGTTACCATTGACCCACTGGGTCACAGTCCAGTCGTCCATATTTCCAACTTCTGTTAGCTCACGATATAGCGCAAACCTCCACCCAATGTCATCGTTGAGTATTTGTCCTCACGACCATCAGGCTTTGACTCCACCGGTCACGACTTGTCATTGGAACTTCGGGAATACTTCTCGAAGCTAGTCACCAACGAGCACTAGTTCAATTAAATTTTGAGGGGGTTGTGGAGATTTGGAAATATTTCAAGTTGTTATTCATCGAAGACTGACATCAGTTGGAGGAACAAAGGAAACCTGGGAACACTGGACAGCCGTCTCGTCCTAGTATGGGACTCCCCAACAGTGCGCACCCACGACCCCACCAGCACGGATCGAACCCGCGACCTTCATGTTCCGCGGCAAGCGCGTTACCATTGAGCCACTGGGTCACAATCCAATGCTCCATATTTCCAACTTCTGTTAGCTCATGATATAGCGCAAACCTCCACCCAATGTCATCGTTGAGTATTTGTCCTCACGGCCATAAGGCTAATATACTACACCGGGATTACACAAGTAAAAAAAAAATACACCTTCCTTATACAATGAATCATACTAACTCGGTGCCCAAGTTTTTTTTCCAATCATCCAGTTCATTGTTAGTATGGTTACCTTCAAAGAAAAATTTAATAAAATTACACTCTGATTTTGAATGTGTGTATAATTCATGAACAAATCAACAAAATCTTTGACGATAAACAAGATCAGCTAGTCAGTTTTTCTCTGATAAATAACTATTCTTCTACATAAAATCTAGAGAATATTTCAGAAATGGATACCAAGATTAAAGTAGAGCATATCAAAAACAATTAGAAGATGAAGATTGATGAAAATATTCAAGACTATGAAGATAGTCAGTTTTCAGACATATCAGTAAGACTCTCCAAACATTGATGTCTATCATCTCTAGGATCCTAGTCATTCGTTATAAGTCTTCTTACACAGCTCATATCAGAGACCTCAAAATTGATCTAATCACTCTTAGCCTACTTCTTTCTAATAAACCTGTTCTAACTCAGCACTTATTAACGCAGAAGTATCATTTCCGAATACTTTTATCAATAGGCAGCAGTATAAATAGAAATCAACATTTTAATTCATCAACCACTAAGGTAGAAGTTTTTGTATTTCAATTTTTTTTCCATGTTACTGTGTAGTCAAGAAAAACCCCATTGGACAATTTGTTTTACAGTTGACCAATCGGAATAAATATCTAATTTTTGACCTTTGGTTTTATATGATGATGGAAACTGGATATAAAGTGATACACTTTTGTCGAATAAAGTGTTCTCTTTACAATCAAAGGCCGGTCTTTGTCTTTCTATGCTCATGGCTCAGTGAAGTATAAGGTTTTGTAGGATGACAGTCGGTAGTCTTACTCATTCTAAATGTCTCATCGCGTATTCCCTAGTTTTCAAGCGATCACTTTACTCTATAAATGCACATAAATGGGGTATGTGAAATGTAATCTTCAAGTAAGATGATTCATCAGACTAGAGTATCACTTTGAGCTCATCTCTGGAACACAATAAGATCAATATAACCCAGAGGAAAACTCATGAATACACAACATCAGCAGGATGTATTAAAAAGTATATAGAAAATTAACAAATATAAAAAAATATGTAGACATGGCTGACTTATTTGATAATGCTCTCGATATCAACAAGTGATTGGTAATTATCTTAAAATCCTAATCAGTTTCCCAGATTTATCTGATCTTAAGTGACTAAAGAAAGTTAATTAGTACACATTTGGGTTTAAAGTGGGAAAATGGACAAGAGATTATGAAATTAAATGTAAATACGTAATGCAGGTTACATCTATGATAGAATAAGAAAATGAATAAGGAATGAAGGTAATACATGTGTAGTTATCATTATTATTATTTGTCTCTTGGGTTCCTAATGGAACATAAGGCTTCAGTAGCACATCTCCAGTTCACTCTATTCTCTGCAAACTTTTGAACCTGGTTCCACGACAGCCCAAAAGTTCTCATTTCTTCCTCACACGATCTCCTTGATGTCATCCACATCTGGGATGCCCAACTCGTTGCTTCCCATCTACATGTGTAGTTACCTAATATGAAATGAATCTATGACTATCAAGGCGTTATAATGACCATGGCAAAGACAAAGGTTGGACGAAGTACCTTTTTTTGCATGCATAATGCTAGTTTGCACTTCTATAGACATATGCCTTGATTTTACTCCTTTCAAGTGGTTTGATCAAAGCATCTAGAGAATTTTGAATGACCTCTGAAAAGGAGCTAAATGGCCTGAGTTCACAAGGTGTTTTGTGATTGAACTCAAGAGATATATTTCCATTCTCTTTTTGCCAGCCAGTCAGGTTGGATAGTGTTCGCAGACACGTTTTATAATCCCCAAT